ATCAATCAATCAATCAATCAATCAATCAATCAATCAATCAATCAATCAATCAATCAATCAATCAATCAATCAATCAATCAATCAATCAATCAATCAATCAATCAATCAATCAATCAATCAATCAATCAATCAATCAATCTCAGTTAAATTTCAAACCGCTGTTAATATAAATCAGTAAAATATCGTGTACCTCAAAATATACAGTATATATATGAGTATATATAAACATATATGTATGCATATGGGCGCATATATATACACATAAATATGTGAATATATACATAAATACATATATACATATATATGCATGTATACACATATGTTCATAGTTATGCACACACATATCTGTAAATGTATGTATGTATATATATATATTTATATATATGCACACATACATATATAATGTTATATAATCCAAAATATAAAAAGGCTCCCTTTGGAGGAGGAAAAAGCTCAATATAGTGAATATGTTGTTGTTGTTGTTGACTGTACATGGCTTTTGACACTGTTTTTCTCTGACTCTCTATAGTTACGGCCCATTCATTGTCAGTCAGGGGCCACATCTAAGGGGCCTCTGCTGTTCAGTCCCTCTTTGTTCCTGATATTATCCCAACCTTGGGATTTAAATGGCTGACGCTTCCTACAGATGCAGCACATACAACACCCACACACAGTCTCTATACAAGGACACACACTCACACACACACACATAGAAAATAGCCAGCTTCAAAATGAGAGAAAGACAGAAGCACAAAGACATCAAAGTAGGACTGTACAACATTTGGATCATTGGTTAAAAAAAAAAATCAGACAGGAAGAGATTCCACCGTGTGATTGGTTACACAGCAGAACTGACAGAGAGACAGATAAAATGACAGTTGGAATGACAGACAAAAACAACAGACAGACAGGACTCCAGGCCAGCGATACAAAGCAGCTTAAAACACACGGATAGAATAGGTGTATATTATTATTACAAAAAGATTTTACACGTGAATATCTGTTTAAGTAAAGTCGACACGTTAGCTAAAGTTAAGGCCTAAACACGACAGAAGCGACATCGAGAGAGAATGTGTGTGTCTGTGTGTGTGTGTGTAAGGAATAAATTGCACTACGGTTTGCTTCAACTTCAACAACAGCCATTTGCAGCCCTATGTTGTAGCAACACCTACTTATGGGGTGCAAAAATGGCAGCCGCAGAAAGGCCACTAGAGGGAGCTGTGACATCCATGTGACACGGTTTCTCCGTCAGATTTAGGCTTTAAGGTGGTATCTGTTTATACTACAGCCTCTTCCTCTTGAAGTAGTCAGCGTACTGGCCTCCCAGGCCCTGGGAGTGCTGACCGATGTAGGCACCCTCTGATGATGTCACTTCCTGCACGGCCAGCTGAGGGTACTCCCTCTTGTGGCCTCTGGTCTGGTTCTACAGAGACAGAAATGACACAGAAGAGAAGAATTGTCTATGATCAAAATGGAACCTTGAATTCACCTCTGCTGATGTTGACGTTCCAGATGAAATCAATCATCATGACGTGGACTTGTAGATGTGCAGAAACCTCTAACTGAAGTGTCCTTGTAGCCACATAAGTTAAACTTTAAAAAAAAAACAAAAAAAAACCTGATCAACTTAGAATTTTGTCATTTTGTGGAGCACACTGAGAGATAGATTCCTCCTGACCTCACTGATCCAGAGTCACTCTGACGGATGGGCTTTAAAAAAAAAACCCAAAAAAACAAAAAACCCAGCTTCTTATTAACCTTTTGTCACGAACATCAAAGTTTCCTTAGAATGCAGGAATTCATTGTCAAGGCTGAGACAATTAATGGAAACACTGGACAGAGTGAATAGACAGCAAACAAACACTACTAATGTATATATGTACATTCACACATACGTATATATGTATATGTGTATGTATATATATATATATATATATATACATACACATATATATACATATATACATATATATACATATATATATATATATAAATATATATATATATATACATACACATATATACACATATATACATATATACTCTATATACATACACATATATACACATATATACATATATATACATATATATACATATATATACACATATATATATGTATATATGTATGTATATATATATATATATTTATATATATATATATATGTACTATATGTACTATATAGTTTTATATATATACTATAAAACTGTGTGGCTTCACTTCTTCCACATGTAAATTTCATTCTAATTTCCTGGTGAACAGCTCTGAGTACCAGACCCCAGGCTCTGTACTTATCTCAATCACTGAACTGCAGAGCTTCATTCAGAATCATTACATCATTAATCAGAGTGTGGATTGTCTTCACTCACATAGTAGTACGTGGTCCAATCTGTGGCAGCAGTGTGCGTGTGTGTGACTGGGTTTGGAGCGGCCGCGGCCGGGTGAGGAGCCGCCCCGAGGAAGCCAGGCATCAAAGGCAGAGCGCTGTAGGCTGGGATGACAGCAGCAGCAGCAGCAGCAGCAGCAGCAGCCGGTAAAACAGCCGGGGACGGAGCAGCACCGCTAGTGACTGTGTGCAGAGAAACTCCGAGAGGCTTACACACCTCCACCTCCTGTAAAAGGGGGATGACATGAGTCAACTGAGTCATTGTGTGGAAGTCAAATTTTCAAGAAATACCCATAATCCTCTGTGGTTTTAGTCAGTTACTGAACCATGCCTATATTTGGAGGCAATTTCAAAGACTGGGTCAAGACCCTTAGAAATAAGTCCTACAGTTTCCCTATGGATCACCAATCAATTAGCTAAATTCTATCACACTTTGGATTTTTGCGAGGATGTAATCTGTTCCGTAAGGATTCATTCCTTATGTCTGGTCCTCATGAAATTAATATTAAAAATATTAAATATTTAAAAAATGGTCATGACAGAAAACAACTGACTTGAAAAGAGAGTCCCCGACTTTAAAACAGTTGGTTTGTTGATGACAACTGATATCTGTACTTGAAAAGAGAGTCCCCGACTTTAAACAGTTGGTGCAGTTTGTTGATGACAAACTGACATCTGATGGGACCATAATCCGCCCTCCACACACTCTTTGTCCATGTGTATGTCCTGGTCAATCAAAATGTCTCTTATTAACTCATAAGATAGGTGACAGAAATAGACAGGCCTGAACAGCAGAGGTGAGGGAACAACAAGGGGGTGAGGGTAGAGGTGGGGGCTAGGAAGACCTGCTAGTATGCTATAAAAACCCTAGTGGAATTAGTATATTAACAGGACTCTTTTAAACCAAGGCATTTTTATTTTTCAAGTTCTCTGGATTTAAATAAGAGGTCCAAACCAAAGATGCTTAGAATTGACTACAACAATAGAATTAAACACGATTAAAAGACTTTGCAGATTATAAACAAACACCAGTGCCAGCTGACTTTGAGGAATATGAGAAAGTCATATTGTTCCCATGGGGAACAACTGCAGCTCCTGTCTGCACCAACGGGCAGCTCTTTGGTCGGGAATACGAATCCTCCGTGACATTAAAGACACGGTTGTTTCATCAGGCAAACACACCGTCACAGTTACAGTCACATGACCTCCAGCAGCAGATAAGGCCCCGGCTGCGTGGTCAGAGTGGGTGCAGATAGTTGCCTGTATCAGCTGCTGGGTGCAGAGTGATGTGCCTCTGCTAACAGGATATCAGTGTCTTACAGAGGCGTCACCGTCTCCAAATATAAACATGGACAAATGGCATTTAGACAGCAGCACGTTGGCCTGAGATCAGCGTCACCTCATCGTCAGGACAGGTCAACGTAGGACTCCAATATTTAACTTGGACTTTGAAAGGCACGTGCACTCAGGAGAGTCATGTTACAGACAATGTACAGCAGGGGTACACAACCCTCGGACCGGGGATCACAGCCGGTCTGTAGGTCATTTGCTACAGGGCCACAGTGAAAACAAATGTACTTCAGTTTTTACCTAAGGTCATGACGTAGGTCATAAAAGATTTACAGTGTCAATACACAAAAGTGTTTTGGACAATCCTTGTAATGTGGTTCACCCTTAAATAATGACACAATAAAAAATAAAAAAAATTAGTCATGGCAGCAGTTGACTCTGTGTGTGATTGACAGCATCACCACCCAATGAAACACTGAGAACCTCACACCATCAGCAGTTTTCCCTGTCGTTATTTATTCCTAAGTCTTGTCCTGGAATCACCTTTTTTTTAAAGAAGAGTCAAAACAAGTGAGACGTAAAAAAAAAACATCTGAACCGTGCGTCTACCTTGCTGCTGTAGGCCTGACTGGCTGCTGCAGGCTGGGAGTAGTACTGAGTGACTGCCTGCATGTAGGAACTGTAGTCTCCATACGTGGACACTGGTGGAGGCTGAAACACAGGAAAGGTCTGCTCAGTCATCCTGTACAGATTAGGGAAACTCTAGACTAGACGGAGCTATTTTGATATGGATTTGGTTAAGTCATAGTCAATATGGCAGATTAAACACTTTATGTCAGATTAACAAGTATTTTTGATCACTGCAATAGCAAACAGGTAATACTGTTTGATGGACAAGTGACCGTCAGTTTCTCTTTGCATTTCATCATCGACTGTGAAGTGTGGTTTACCTGCGTGTGTTCCTTGCTGAAGTCTGAAGCTGTGCCGTCCGGTGGAGCAGCGGTGCTGTAGGTGTTAGCCTGTGCAGCCTGGTAGTGCTGGTACCACTGCTGCATGGCCTCCTGTGGTACAAACAGGAGGTGAAGAAGAGATGAGATTTTTTTTTTCTCTTGCTCATTTCACAGAACTTTTCCTTTCTCATTTATTTATTAGAGACAACAATGTTCATCACTGTCGTGTGTTTCCACACACATCTGAGCAGCTGATCCATTAGTCATCTACTCCTGATTCATTTGTTTGGATGAGTAAATCATAATTAACATTTAAAATTGGGTTTGCATCACAGCACCAAAAACAGATATATCACATCACAGAGCTCGAGGAGAGCTGACATCAGAGGAGATGGAGGGTGAGGAGCTATGGGAGGAAAGGGGGAGACGGAAACAGAATTAGAATTAGAAAGAATTAGGGAGGGAGAAAGCAGAGAGTGGTGAAGTGGGAGGTGAGTGGGGAGAGAGAGTCTGATGAAGTCCCACAGTGATGGAGGACACACTGTCAAATCACTTCCTATCCTCTTTGTCCAAATTCCCCAAACCGTCCCCCACTCACTTCCACCCTCTCCTGGTTATCTCTCTCTCTCTGTCCCTGACGCACTCATCCTTCCACTCACTTTGTTTGTATCCCTCCATCATTCACCCAGCAACAACAACACGACCACCTTCACTCTAGCGTCCTGCCGTACCTGTGTGTACGCCTGGTTGTACTGACTGTAGTCAGTGCTGGCGTCCGTGCTGTAGGGGGCGTTTGTTGTTGCAGCAGAGCTGTGGGAGTAGGAGCCTGAACCCTGGGACACCACAGGAGCAATACTGTTGTTGTACACTCCAGGGCTGGGCTGTCTAGCCTGTGCCTTACTCCCCACTGACCCTGTAGAAACACACAGCACACACACAGTCTGAGGCCTGGCTTTGAACACTCAATGGGCTTCATGGGGAGGCAGCAGCTGTTGTCATCTTTGACCAAAGATAAAAAATAAAGCCCCAGGGATAAAACGCGCCCTGTAACACCTTCAAAGGAAAACTAAACAGCCACCAAACTCAATTAGCGCTGATGACAAAAGGAACCTTCAAGGTCCTGATTATTTTGTCATGCAAAAGAAGCTTTTATTTGACTTCCTACTCACATTTCTTTAACTCAACTGTAGCTCCAAAAGAACTAGAAACACAGTGGAAAGTATGTTTATTAGCGAAGCAGAACATTAAGGATCTAAAGAATCTGCTGCTATGTTTGCAGTTGTTTCTGCAGAAAGCCTGTCGTCACCTTTGTTTGATGTTCATAACTGCACCAGACATTTTACAAAGAGACAGATCTGGACTGCAGGCCGGTCAAGCAAACAAAGTCTTTGTGTACAAAACAACACTTTATGAGTTTGTGTCAGACAAGGCTGTTGTTGTCCTGTCCTTCTCCTTTGCATAACACTTTTAGATTAGTATTTGAGGCATCCAGATACCCTGAATTATCAAATATTTTTGAGTGAATAACGGGCCTGTATTTTAATCAAATGCAAAACAAGTTTAGTAACACATAGCTGAGAAAAAGTTAAAAGTTAGATGAAGAGAAAAGAAGAAAATTTGTAAAATTCCTGACCACATTTTTGCTCTTCACTTTCGTGTTCAATATAGATATCTAGCTGGATGTTAGTGCAACATACTTTATGCTAATCAAACCCATAATTTTAAACCATAAGGACAGTAAAACTGACTACCCTGAAAAGCCCCACTCAGGGAAAAGCTCCAGTTTACGCAGTGATTTTCCATCCTGCTAGTAGACATGAAATATGTTGATTTTATTTCATAAAAAGTGTCTTGATTCCTATAGAACACCTCAAAGTAGCACAGCCAGTCTCTGGGCTGGACCTGGGAAATGCCTGAATACTCATCTGAAACTCTCTCATTACTTCTCTGTACTCTTTACCCTACTTTCTCTCACTTCTTCCATGTTCAGCTTATGTATCAGGATTATGTGGGTGAAACCAACCACCATTGTCTGCATAATGAGCTCCTTCTTCAAGAAGTGGAATGCACACATCTTCTCAAGCTGCTGTAGAAATGTGTCAGTGCTGGATGACAACTTCTGGAAAAACAATCCCTTGAACGCTACTTCAAACTACTCCGAAGCTACAAAAACAATACACTCTTCTGTGTTATTACCCACATTTTTACTTTGTTTACTTTGCCAATAAATCTTGGTAAATGTAAAGATTTTGCTAAATGGATTCATTCTGAGTGCAGAAGTCTGTCTGAGTGAGACCGTCTACCTTGGAGGACGACCCCTGGCATCACACTGGCCAGGTTCAGGTAAGGATTGGAGGGGAGACGGACTTCTTTAGGAGGATCACCCAGCAGAGAACTCTGACCACCGCTAACCTGATGAGACAGACAGAGGCTTAAGTCAGCATTTGGAAGTCACAATCCTGATCTTGCTTCAATCTGGTTTCCTCCACAAAATCATCCCCAAAATTCAACATCCACATTTTTAAGTCGTCAAATTTTTCATGAGCTCCTGAAGAGTCAAAGTCAGTGGAAATCCTCGAGGGGGGGTTTTCTCTCTGTTAATTACACTTCCCTCCATTAGACAGACTTCAGAGAGGACAGTGCAGCGGCTGGAATCAGTTCCCCTGAGAACTGCAGAGCTGTGGTAATCTAAAATACTCTACTATGAATAAAAGTGTGCTATATTTAAATCCCATCTATTCATGACATCAGCACCGAAGCAACATTGGGACCACCTGTCTGGAGGTCCCAAAGTAGAATCATGGTCCTTTTGAAAAAAAAAAAAGGAAATAACTACCAGTCGACCTGTAGATGAAGACTGTTCACGGCCTGAAAAAAAAACTGTGGTAAAAAATCTACAGAAACTGGGACAATGATGCCGTCACTGTTGTAGGAAAAACTGGATCGCTTTACTTCATGAAGAATCACTCCATACAGATTTTACTGTGTATTTAAAAGCCAAGTGGCTAGTTTATACAAACAAGGACAAACATTTAAAAAAGTATTTTAAGTGTCTGTCAAAGAGTTCAATTAATAATAAAAAAAAGGACAATTACTATCGATATTTGTCTACTATAACTAACTATAGAAATGGCAGCCTGTAATAGTAATGATAAATAAGACTAAAGGCTGGTTCTAATGACACAGAACCTCATTTCTGAGAGTGAAGATTGTGTGGAAACCTCTGTGTGTGTTTGCATGTCTGCTCACTTCTCACCATGCTAACCAGGGAGCACCCATCTGCACCGCTGTGCTGCCCTGTTGATGTATAAGCTCCTCCAGGGGGTTTCGGTGGAGGTGGGCCAACGCTTGCGTTACTTACTGCCATGGAAAAGCTCTGTCCCTGCAGCTGGGAACCCAACATTGTCCCAGGAGGAGCTGGCTGTCTGTCACAGGAGTAGGAGGAGGAAGAAGAGAAGGTGGAGGAGGCAGAGGGGGCTGTGGAGACAGAATGGGAGCTGATTGGTTCTCCCACCCCGGCTCGACCCTGGAGGTATGGCATTATACCTGCTGCTGTGACCACCACCGTGGCATTGTGTGTTGAAGGAGGCACTGGTTCTTGACTCAAATCTGCAAATCAGGAAAATATGGGAAAGAAAACAGAGTAAGAGACAAGATTAGAACGAGGGGGAGGGGACGTCAAGAAAACAAGTAGAAATGTAAAAGGAAGACAAATGTAGCAAATGTATGGGAGGGGCAAAATTCAGAAAGATAAACAAAGAAAATGAAATTAAATCTGGAGAAACGGAAGCAGATGTAAGACTGACTGAGGATTGACACATGAAATGGCTTTCATAGATAACCATCAGTGTCCCTGTCTCCTCTGGACAGAGACAGATCACTCAGACTGCTGGAAAAACTGAGCTGAGCTGGAGTCACACCAGCAGACATTTCTGAGTTATCATGTTTATGTGCAGCTCCAATATTCCACTCACTTCAGGGTTTCATAAATAAAAACATGTACCATAAACACCTACGTACTGTATACACAAGCACAAATAATAATAAAAAAAAAAAATACTGCAGACACGAGGGCAACAAAAACCCAATTAAACACACACAATAAAGGATAACAGGTACACACTCACACTCCTTAAAAATCTAATATTCTGGTGAAAAATGGTCTCAGCAGCACAATAAAGCAATCAGCTCTAATAGGCCTAAAGCTAATAATCCCAGCTGACACACACACACAAATACACACACACAAAGATAAAAGCTTTAACTGCAAACCAGTGCACAGCATCAAAGCGGCAGACACACTGGTGTTTGTGCACACACAATAAAACGATGCATCATTTCCATTTAACAACAAAACAGCAACGTCTCAGCTGCACATATGAAATGTAAATTCACTGCCGTTTCCCCAGGACGTGTTTCACAGTAATATACAACTGTGAGGTACGTGAACCTGAACAGAGATGCACGCAAATTTCTCTTTCAGGCTCCTCAAAAAAAGATGGAAGTGCCAAACAGGTGAAGGCTCTCACCTCTTATTGAAAGAAAATCCTGTTTTTGTATATGTCTGTATATGTCAGTTACTAGTCCATTCACTACCTATAATTGATTTATAATACAAATATTTTCCCCAATGATTTCAGGATTTGAATCAGGTCTTTTCTACAGAGAGCTGTGTCCCTGGCATAAATAACTCTCTTATTTACAAATGAAATAGAAAAAAAGTGAATGGCTAAAACGAACAGATACTGAAGACAAATGACATTGAAGTTCCAATGTTGAATTCCTATTTGAGAAAAACTAAGACTGTAATAAGGACAGATTCAGATTCA